CTTAAAGATGGCGGAGCTCTATCGACGAGGAATAAATATGTACACATGTTGGCATGTTCGACTAACAAATGGAAAGAGTCTTCGACCTACGGCCTACTCCGTTTTCGCTCGCTTTGTTGCCTTATGTTGACCTTACAGGTACTCTCATCGTCTACGCACATCACGTGTTTACTATACTTCCCTCTGGTTTTTCAAACTCAGCCTCAGTTGCTCTTTCTTTAACGACACGCACTGAGGCTGTAAGTCTTCATACAAATATTCCTTTTCCATTCATGACACTTACACTGTAATTAGTTTTATTCCCGTGTCTGTGTCTAGGTAGTTAAAATTCAGTTGCTCTTTCTTTAACGACACGCACTGAGGCTTTTTATTCCCGTGTCTGTGTCTAGGGTCATCACCTTAGAAACCTGATCAAAAGCCCTCATCCTTTCTTTTTCAAGGAGGATCGCTTTTGAAAACGTTTTGATGAACTCGTCGATGCAATCGAGAGGCTCTCACACAGTCATGGGGATCTCCGAACCCTCTCGAACAGTGGGGACAGTGATCTGGTGACGAGGACAGAGCCCTAACCAGAGTGCTTGAATAACAGGGGCAAAGTGTGCAAAGTCTTTCTGAAGATGCGGAATAATCATCGACTCGATGAAGTAGTAAAATTGGCCGGTCTTCAATGTGCAAAGACTTTCGAATGAAGGCTGCATGAACCACTCATTGACAGCTGCACAAGACGATTGTAATGGATGCTTTTTCATCTTTCCCCCAGATTGCTTCTTGAAAGTGACATGAGTGAAGACATAGATCAACTGCCCATTACATGTCCTGAGTCTTCAAAAGCTTCAGTATCTGCTTCAGGAGTCAAAAAGGGGTCTTTTTTCTTTTTATCAATAAACGTTGCGGAATCGTAGTCAATCAAAACGCCCTGTCTGCATTTGTTCGATTGGAGACACAACAATGCAGCCAGCAAATCAGTGGATCCTGGGTACTCCATGATGATTGGGTCGTTGCCCCATGACCATGGCAGAATCATTCGCCAATGAAATCATTAGATTGGCAGAAGAGATATCTCAGTGCATTCGGTTGTTCATCTTCAAGTATCGTATGGCTGGAAACACCACATTATTAAAGGGGGCCGTAGAAAGGTAAAAATTTTAGGCTTCCTACTTATTAATCCTACCAAGGTAGTACCTCTTTTCCTTTAGTCCTTCCTTTCTTTTTCTTACGGAATCTTTCCTTCCTTTTCTAAAATAAGAAAGAAATCATAACCGCCGGATTCATCCTGTCCTTTATGAGCTGTTCGAAGTAATTTACTAATAAGGCCGAAAGAGAAAAGTAAAGTAGAATTCATTCCTCTAAATAGGACTACCCTGCAGATTCTTCACTCCTTCGGACTACTCCTTCCCTACCCTTTGCCCTCTCCGTAGGACTACGTAGTAGCCGCAGGGTAGGCAGGGAAGGCGCAAAGGCAGGGGGGCGACTACTACTCCTTCGCCCCCCCTTTGTCCCATCTTTAAAGGCAAAGGCTGGTAGCCTAGGGTAGGGAGGGAGGACTTCCAATTTCAACTGTGTCTGACTGTGTCTGTAATGCCACAGGTAAGGGGTTCCTTCTCTTCCAGCCTTCCAACCCTTCTTTCCTATCCAGCCCCTACCCTTTGCCCCGCCTTTGGCTAAATGGGCAAAGTAAGGGGAGGCAGGATAGGAAGGAAGGCCTCTTTCTCTTTATGTAGAAAAGTAGAGTAAAAATTCAAAGACTTTAGCATAATGGTTAATGCAGTTCACTCATAATGGATATTATAAGGGTTCGATCCCCTTAGGTCTTAGGAAATAAGATAAATAATAAACAATATAATCTGAATCTGATTATAAAAATCTCCAAATTTAATATTAAATATTAAATATAAGATATATTCATTCAAATGTTCCAAGTAAAAAATAAAAATAAAGATTATATAATTTACATCTATTCTAAAAAAAAAGCAAATAAGGGCATTTGGTCGAGTCTGGTTTATGGCGTTCGTCTTGAAAACGATTACTTTATAAAAGTCGTGAGTTCGAATCTCACAGTGCCCAATAATAATCAATTATAGAATTATCCTTATTTTTACCCCTGCCCTTGCCCTCTCCGTAGGAAGTAAAGGACGGGGCACCTACGGAGGGTTTAGTTTTAGTTTTATTTTATTTTTTTTTTCTTTTTTTTCTTTCTATACTTTGCTTTACTTTACTTTACTTTACTTTACTTTACTATACTTTACTTTACTTTGCTGAGATAAAAAGGCTTTCGGCAGGATAGCTGTTTTATCAGTTATAAGAGTTTAGGGTAAATTTTTTTTTTTGTTTTATGTAATAACCTAAAAGAGTAGGAAATAAAAAATTATTATTAAGAGTAAGAGTTAAGAGAAAAGTAAAAGTAACAGATAGAAAAAGTGAGTGAGTGAGGTGTAATTGTAATTTAACGGTGGATGACAAAATGGCCAGTCGCTCCTTTTGGGTAGGAGAGATATTGCGCGTTCGAGTCGCGCCTACCGTGTGTACTTACAAATATGAGTTGTTTAAATTAAAGTGTTAAACTATCCTATAATAGTAGTACTAGCCTCTCCTCTCCTTCCTGCCCTTCCCTAGACTTTGCCGCCGAAGGAGTAGCCAAAGGCGTGGCAACTACTCGCCTCTCCTGCCTACCTTCGGGCCTACGGAGAGTAGTAGCCCCCCTGCCTTTGCGCCTACGGAGAGCAAAGGGGTAGGGTAGGCAGGACCCCCTGCCTTTGCGCCTTCTAGTAGGGAGGGCA